ATGTTATTATGTCGTTACCTCCTCAAAAACAAATCTGGAGTTTTGTTTTCATTCATTCATGTTTGAGTAATTCTTTATTAGTCTGTCTACATCTCCAAAGCTCAAAATTCTCTGCTCCACCTTGTGATGTCATGAAGCAGTAAGCGGTAGTTTTCATGTTAACAGCTCCTTTTACAGTTACTTCAATAGAGATTTGTAATTCCAGGTCTGAAAATTACCCATTAATGATTCTAGTGAAGGGTTTAAAAACACACTGGAGCACTTCCTGTATTGACATGACACCACAAGTTGGAACAAAATGTTTTCTGTTAGAGAGAAGAACTCAGCCTAAATATGCAGAATTTTGTCTGTTAAACATGTGTGGAAAAAAATAAAAATACACAACTCCAAGTACATGTTTGTGATGAGGAAACTACTTTATATCATAGAAAACATAGAAAACAGCATCATTTCTGGTGAAGGGTCTTCTACATTTTTGTCTCCATGGAAATGTTATTGCTTTCATTTTCATTTGATTCGGTCTGTCACCTCTTTGTTTCTATGAATATGTCATTGCTCTTCCTGGAATGTTCCACAGTATGACATTAAACTACTGTGCCTTACATTTATTCAATTACATGTGTTTGTAAAATCCCAGGAGAAATTCAGTTTGTCAACTGGACAATCAAATTTGTCAACTTGATCAAAAACGTTTAACAGTTCTTTGAAGCTGCTTCTTCAGTTCTGGTCTGGTTAGTCCACAGTTCCTTACATCTGCCTGCAGGGAGGAGCTAACTACACTGAAACTACTCTGAAACACACCCTGCGTTCAATTATCTTCCGACTCCCACTTGGATCTCAGATTTGATGTCACGTTCAAACTTGAAGCGTATTCTTATGTTTGACGTGTCGGACTACGTGGTTTATGATTATGACTATTCCCTCATCCTATGAAAACACTGCCACTTTAATTCATGAATTTTGATAAATTTGCACTTCATTTTATGTTATAATTTCTCTTCCATTACAACCTTAGGGATATTAACACCCGTTAAATCAAGTGTTTGTTCAATATTGGCCTCACCACAACACCGACTACCAGACCCACAGGCAGTGATACAGACATGGTACTGCAGTTACATGAGTGAAACAAACACAATGGAAACACTTCATATTTACACATCACAGTGGGTGGAGCCATCTTGGCTTCTGACTCGGAATCCTTGCTCTACTTTTTTCGCCACTGAGGTCCCAGTCGTGCCTTCCCAGGAAAGGGGGTGTGTCACGTGTGTCGCTAGGCAACTTCCTTGGAAAAATTATTCGGAAGGATAATCAAATACAGGATAACACCCTACTTGTTAGCTCGATCTATTTATCTGTATCTGATGATTATGCTATGCTCACTCAGTACAGCTGAATAGGCCGATCTAACAAACCGAAACTATAAACAACTAGGGTGTTCGTTTCAGAGTAGTTTCAGTGTAGTTAGCTCCTCCCTGCACACAGATATAAGGAAGTGTCCACCAGCGTCTGACCAGAACTGAAGAAGCAGTTTGGATGAGCTGTGAAACATCTTCAACCTAAATAAACATTTGTCGAGTTGACAAATAAAATTTCTCCTTTGCTGTCAATTACATGTGGTTTTATTGCTCAAAAATACCTAGAAAAGCAGACCTTCCTGTCTTTCCACAGATCTGACCTGTAACTTGGTTTGGTTTGGTCTCCATGAAGATAGAAAGGTTTAATACCACACTGTGAAACATTCTAGACAAAGCAAAAACATGTCCATGGGGAAAAGCATTTGACGAACTCTGCCAGAAAAGTTACACAGTGCACCTTTAAACAGTTTGCAGTGGTGTGAAGTTATTCCTCACATACCTTATGCATTCGAGTCACATTTAAAATCCCATTTTGGTTATGCACACACACAGAAAAATCTCAATAAACATATAAATTCAGCGGCAAAAACGCTGTTCCTTTATATATTCGCTGATAATGCGATTGTTTATTCAGTGTAGCAGCCGCACACAGACCCATACACACATGCTGCCCGTGCTTTGCCTGGAACATATCCATCTGGCATTTATTCATTACGAGTGTTTCTATTGCTCAAAAAAACAATAATTCCTTCTGTGAATAGGAGCGACTCTTCACAGATCTGAACTGTAATGTAATGTAGTGCTGTAACCTACTTGTCTCGCTCGTCAAAGATCATTTTAATCTATATTCTGGAATACGGAAGCCGAGAGGGGTCACAACAAACGCAAACTCCACAACAAATACATCGGTATTTGATCGGTCCGTCGGAAAATAGAGTCCCGCGGTCTCTTCCGTTGTGGCTTTTTAATGTGTTGCAGCATTTGCATTTGTGTTGTGGCATTTGTATTTATTGCAGCGTTTGCATTAAAATAGAGTCCCGTGGTCATTTCCGTTGTGGCTTTTTTTGGTTTGTTGTGGCTTTTTGTTGTGTTGTCGCATTTGTATTTGCTGCGGCGTTTGCGTTTATTGTGACCCCTCTTGGCTTCCGTAATCATTGTTGGGAAGGTTACTTTTAAAATGTATTCCCCTACAGATTACAGATTACATAGCCCAAAATGTAGTTTGTAACAGAATCCATTAAATTACTTAAGGTGAGTAACGTAATCTGAATACTTTGGATTACTTGATTTGCTGTAGAGGAGCAAAGACTACGATATCTTCACATAAGATGTTTTGTCTGCTAAAAGAAAAGAAAATGCCCAGACTTTACTTAACCGTATTAAAAATATTATTGATAGAAGAGGAGGAGACATGGTCCACGCAGCATGATTTAGTCCTGTTAAATCCTGTTTTAGTCCTGGTTTAGACCTGGTTTAGACCTGGTTTAGTCCTGGTTTAGGGTTTAGTCCTGGTTTAGACCTGGTTTAGACCTGGTTTAGTCCTGGCTTTAGTCCTGGTTTAGCCCAAAATGTGGAAACAGGAAAATAGCACCATGTAATCCATTTATTTCAACAAAGTAACTGTAATCCAATTACCACTCATGGAAACAGTAACTGTAACCGAATACAGTTACTCATAATTTGTACTCTGATTATGTAACTCTGGTACATGTAATCTGTTACTCCCCAACACTGTCCGTAATGGAACCTTAGACAAAGCAATCACATTTCCTTGGAGGTAAGCAGGTGGCGGACCCTCCACTTGAAATGTCACACAGTGCACCTTTAAATATGTTGAATCCACCACGGTGAACGGTTGATATTTTTTAAAACGAGAATGTGCAAAATTTCAAATACTTTCTTCGATTTTATAGCAGGTTTCTGGGGACAGCTTCAACGGACGGGATGCTTAGACTAACCGTGCGCTCGAGAGAGGAGTGAAGGAAGGAAGGATGCGAGAGAAGAAAAAGGGAGGGGGTGATAGAGAGACAGAGCGAGAGAGAGAGGCAGGAGGGGCTTATGGGAACTCGCGGAGTGGTCTACCTTCCGTTCCATCGCTCCGACACTGCAGTCTCGCTTCGGCAGCGGTCAGCGAGGGGACCGTCTCCTCCGCGCGCTCGGCTGTTCTTTTTCACGATTACCATGACCTTACCGGACCCTCTCCCGGCATCCAGCGCTTAAGGCAGGGGGGGTCGGAAGCTCCGCGGAGAAGAGGAGAGAGCGAAGAGGAAGAAAAGAGGAGGAGGAGAGAAGCGGACCGCGCATACTTTTGGCTGGCGAAACTGGGAATTAATTAGCAGCTCGCGCGCAGATCCGTGGAGGTGTCCGTGGTCTCCGTGCCGACGCGGAGCTGCGAGGGCTGTAGCGCTGCATTCTCAAGGGGACTTTCTTGAAACAAATTGAACAAGTTAGGGCATGTGGATTTAAGGATATTTCCGAGCCGGTGCGAGAAAGAACAAAAAGGAGAGACCTCAGTTTGCTTGCATGCTTTCCACTCCATCCCCATCATCCTTGCTTGATTCAACTCATGTTAACAAATTATGCCTAGTGAGAGAAGTTGTTAACATGCACAAGAATTCGTAGGAAGTAAAGTTGTGTTGTCTTTGTGCAGCTTTTCCCGTTTCAACTCATGGTTCCGAACGGCGTCAGTTTCTTTCGTTTGCCCGTAGTTGAAACCGTGCGTGGTTTATCAGGCTTTGTAACGCCTTCGTAGTTCTTGCATGGGACTCCAGTCGAGCCGTCTCTCAGGGTAGAGGAGTGTTGCGAGATGAAACAAAACCAGGGCTTATCTCCGGCAGCGTGGCACCTGCGCTTGACAGATTATAGCGGCGTACGTGTGTGCATGTGCAGTTAAGTACGCACACCGATACAGATGTTGTGAGTGGATTACGCGCGGTGATTTTGGGAGATTCTTAGAAAACAGTATTTGAATTGTACGCTGGTGATTGTAGATTACTTTTTATAATTGTGGAACAGATTAGATTCGTACATTGTTGTTGGAAATGGCAGCTCGGAGTTGCCAGGACACTTGGTAAAAAAAAAAAGCATATTAAAAAAGCGATTGTGTGTAAGAAAAAAACATTGCATATTGACGATTGATTGATGGTTGTCGATGATTTTGAGGTGGTGGAACTTCTCAAAGAAATGAACTTTTGTATCGCAACTTCAATCAGATTAGAGTTCAACCTTTGTTAGTGTTGAAAAAACTGATAAAACCACGTTTGGTGAAAAAATGACAGCTCTAAGTTGCCAGGACACTTGGTAAAAAGAAAGTGTATTAAAAAAGCGATTGTGTATAAGAATAAAACGTTGCATATTGATTGATTGTTGATGATTTTGAGGTGGTAGAACTTCTCAACGAAATTAAGTCGTGTATCGCAGCTTGAACAGATTAGAATTCAGTCGTTGTTAGAGTTTCCACTGCACGGACTTTCTAAAATAAGCAGTTGTCTTAAAAAAAAAGTAATCGAATTTAGTTACAGAACGCATATTTTTTCATTTCATCTCATCGTTTGGCGTTAACATGGCTTTCAGATAATATCTTTAACGGAATTACGCGACTTTCCACGGACCTATAACGCTAAAACGACCACCTGTCCCACCATGAGGCGTTCGAGTACCGACGAGACCCCGTACAGGCGAAGTCCGTCCTTGGACAGTAAACCGGAAACGCCGCCCTTTACCTCTGGGTTCCACCGGTTCAGTGGGGAGTTTGAATACAAGCGTCCGCCGTTCGCTTTCGGATTCACCACCACCAAAAAGCCCCAGTCCTCCAACGGGCGCTACACTCCGGGCAAGAAGTACGTGGTGTTTTACCTGGACCTGTCCTTCATTTTTCTTCTAGAACTGCGTCGCTGCAAAATGGCAGAGGGATGCATGATGGCCCTGCGCTACGGGATGGTCTTCTTCAACCTCCTCTTCTGGGTGAGTGCATAACTTTTACTTTTACTTCTACTTCTCGCTGGTTTTGGTGCTGCTGGCGGGGGTTTTCGGAAAAGCAGAGCTGGGCGATGTATCATGGGCAGAATAATATCAGAATGGTTGTTATTTTGTTTTTCAGTTTATTTTTGTAGAGCGCGAAATCATTCCAGCAGTCGCCTCGCAGGGTTGTGGATTCAGCCAACAGAAAGTTAGAAAATGAAACTGTGAAAAAGTCATTGATCAATAATGGACAGGCAAATTCAGGCAACTCGATGTAGTAGTTTTAAAAAAAGGCTCTATAATCACAACTGAACTGAGCTGCCAGTGCTTCAAAACCCTTTCAGACCTTATTTTTTTAGTACATTTGTTCCCGCCTGGATGTTTTTCTTAAATTTGCTATTAAAGCTCCCAAATTTACCCCCAATGAAGTGTTGTACATCCTTTTTTTTCAGTACAACCTGTTATTTCACAATCTGCTGCTGTAGTTGTGTCATATGGCTGGAATAAAAGCTACAGGACCAGAAATAAAAATGAAACAACTGAAAAAAATTGAAAATAAAATTCACACAGCAAACATGTATAAACAATAGGGATGTAACAATAACCGAAATATCATGATATCGTATCATCAAAGTTCTCACAATAATATCGTGTGGACCATCACAATGTATCGAATTTCAAGTCTCTTTGCTTAAATCAGGCATGTCCAAACTATGTCCCGTGGGCCAAATGCGGCCCTCAGACAAATTTTTCATAGCCCTCAGGCTTTCAGGTCAATTGGCCCAAATTACCTTGCCAAAATTTACTTTTTATTGCAAGCTTTTTGAAAATTTACCTTGATAAAGCCAGTATTTAATAATCAGTGTGTGGTTTTAAGGATCTCAGCATGAATAAAGACTGATGGCTCATTCTAACGCGTTAAACATGCACATATTTCAATTATTCACTGTACTGAGCATCAGTCTACGGCCCTCGATCAGCCCTCTGCTTCATCTGTGTTTAGATATGTGGCCCTTGATGAAAAAAAGTTTGGACACCCCTGGCTTAAATGAAGAGTTATGGTGCAGCAATAGCTAAAAAAAAGACAGAGGGAACTACATAGACCATGATCCTTTGCTCCATTTCAAGAAGAAATAACAGTTCTAAGCACTTTTAAGTCTTAGATCTTTGGATTAAGTCTTGTCATTTTGGCATTTGGCATTTTGGTCACTTGACATTTTCGTTAATCTCCACAAAATATCACAATAAACATTGTACCGTGAGGTCCATACCGTGACGATATCGTATTGTGAGACTTGGATTTCATTACACCCCTAATAAGCAACTTTGTGGACATGAAAAAATGCTTAATTTAGGCCCTTAACTACAAAATATCACTTTATTGCCTCAAAACAAAAAGTGAAATGGCCCCATGACTTTCCTGGTGTCAATCATGGAAACAGCTGGTGTCCAGGAAACAGAGCCACATCACTTCCTGCATTTCCATGGTGTTTTTTACATTTGGATTTGTACATTTGGACTGAAATAAACCTGAAAATAAAAATAACAAGGGATGCACAATTACACTGTCCAAGATTTTCCATTTATTTGAGAAATAACTGCATTTAGAGCGTCTTTTTCAATTGTTATGAACACAGACGCTCAGAGCAGTCGACCATTTTGACTCACTACACTCTTTGGCAAAGTTTGGGCCGATCAAAATGGATAGATGGATGCCCGAAAAGCCTGAAGTCCCAGCTTTTCATGGGACAAAAAGTAAGTTTCTATCTTTTATGGTTAGAAAGTTATGCGCGATTATATAAAACATATTCCAGGTATCTTAAGCGATACTTTTGGTCTGGAAGGGTTAACCTGCAGATTGAGGCACATCCAAGTTTGTCTCATTCTCAGTTCATGGACAGGCCTCATGTGAAAGCTCAGAACCTCCAGAATTCCATCCCTGAGCTGCAGAGGCTGCACTAGCACTGACTCATGATTGTCTGCAGGTCCTGGGTTTCGGTAGTTCAGATCAGAGTGAGGCATTTTTGTTTTAAACCAGCTGGATTTCTCCCTGGGTTTGTGTGAAGTTCATACATCAAATAATAATTACCTCATATCGGGGAACACAGAATTTTAAATTAAACTCTTACACCCAGCAGAGGTAAAAATATTATAGTATGAAGTCTATAATATGTAAAAGCTGAAAAAAAGCTGACGAAAAAACAGTGTAGCCAACAAGATGATGTTTCAATGTTTTACTGTCCATAAATAATTTTCTGTACAATACTTGAACCTTTGAGACATTCAGAGCCATGTTTTTGCACACGGCTGCTGGATTGGAAAATATGATCTGTCATTATCAACAAAATCCCCAAAATAGAAATGTTAATTTTTGTCAATATCGCCCACCTCTTGTGAAAAGGCTGCAATTGTGGCTCTGTGAATGCTGTTTGCGAAATAGAACTAGAAAATGCAATGCGGTGATGGGTTTGTTGGCAGAAATGTACGTTTTATTGTTGTGTTCCTCTGCATTCTGGTCAACCTGATATTTGACTTTTGTGTTTGGTTGCAAAGCATTTTCATTTTTGAGATTAAAGGGCCCATATTACGCTATTTTCTGATCTATTTTACAATGTTGTTTCCTCATCATAAACACACCTGGATTGGGTTTGTGTTTTTAACGTGTGAATGGAACAAAACACAAGTCCAGGTCTGTTTTTGAGGAGGCTACAACTTTCGAACATGACTAAGGCTGCGTTCAGACTGCAGCCTGAAGTGACTCAAATCCGATTTTTTGGCCCCTATGTGACCTGTATCTGATCTTTTAATGACAGTCTGAATGACACAGATCCAATTTTTTCAAATGCGACCCAGGTCACTTGGATATGTGCTCCTGAAACCGATACATATCTGATCTTTTGACATGCGACTTCAGTCTGAACGGCCAAAGCGCATTCATCCGACCTACACGTTATCAGCAAGCCACAAACGTCACTATTCTGCGCTGAAGTAGGCGAAAATTGTTGAATGAACTCCATGTCACTGAAGCGAAGCACATCACCACTCACCACTCTTGGCTACGTCTCCACATCCACACGTTCCTTTCAACGGACGTCGCTGCCGCTGTCCCACAAAACACCACGGCCAAAAACCTCGTCCTTCTCCTTCTCAGTCTCCTCCTTAAAACAAGTAAGTTGTACATCTTCTGGTTCCGGTACGAAAGGAACTTTAAAATCTCCAGGTGCTCAATGCTCGCGTCCATGTTTGGACAACTTCCGTAAACACAGAGACGCTCACTGCGGTTGACGTCATCGTGTCTCCAGTGCACATGCGGGACACTTTCGGGCCGTTTACTGTTCACACTGAAGTCACATACAAGTCGCATTTAATTGGAAATGTGAACAACCTCGCAAAAACATCGGATTTCTCAAAAAAAATCAGAATTGAGCATTAAGCCCTGCAGTCTGAACGTAGCCTAAAAGCTCACAAGAGTTCATTTTGAGTAATATCGGACCTTTAACAAAGCTTCTTCTGGTGCTTAGTGTCTCCAACTTCAAACCAAGTCCAGTTGAATTTCTGAAGTCTTTTGTTGTTAATATGTACAACGTGGTTATCCCAGAGATTATCCAGCTTCTTTTTTTGTCTTTAGTATGTGTTGTGATTAGCTTACAAAGGTGGAAAAAATCACTCATCTCATGGCAATCATGCGACGCAATTGCTGGAACTTGTTTGCATCCCATAATCATTACTTGCGAGCTGTGATCTGCATAATTAGGCGAGATACGAAACCATGAATAGCGAAATTACGGCCAGTTATGTGACAAATTACTTCTCTGCATGCGTTTGAAATCTACACCCCCACACAGCCAAGAAACCACAGTGAAGAAAGTTGGTAAAATAAATGCTTTAATGGAAGCGTCTGCAGACTGAGCTCTTACTGTGTAAAAATATATCTATTTAAATGACAAATGGATATAGAGGACACATGCTGCCTGTGGTTGGTTGCAGATGGTGATGTCATGATTTTTTGTCCATTTCGTTAAAAATTCATCAGTCCACTATTCAGTTAATGCTAAAGACACCTTTTTTTTTTTTTTTTTTTTTGTGAAATCCTAATTCTTCCAAAAAAATATATGTTTTTTTTTTCAGTACATTTGTCCTCGCCTGGATTTTTTTTTCTTAAATTCACTATTAAAACTCCCAGTTTTACCCCCAGTGAAGTGTTGTACATCCTTTTTTTCAGTACAACCTGTTATTTCACAATCTGCTGCTGTAGTTGTGTCATATGGCTGGAATAAAAGCTACAGGACCAGAAATACAAATGAAAAAACTTAAAAAAACTTAAAAATAAAATTCACACAGCAAACATGTATAAACATTAGGGATGTAACAATAATGGAAATTTCGTGATATCGTATCGTCAAAGTTCTCACAATAATATCGTGGACCATCACAATATATCGAATTTCAAATTAAATCAGGCATGTCCAAACTATGTCCCATGGGCCATATGCGGCCCTCAGACAAATTTTTCTTGTCCCTCAGGCTTCCAGGTAAATTGGCCCAAATTACCTTGCAAAAAATTGACTTTTTATTGCAAGTTTTTTGAAAATGTACCTTGATAAAGCCAGTATTTCATATTTAGTGTGTGGTTTTAAGGATCTCAGCATGAATAAAGACTGATGGCTCATTCTAATGTGTTAAACATGCACACATTTCAGTTATTCACTGTACTGAGCATCAGTCTACGGCCCTTGATCGTCTGGAGGCAGCCTGAATAGAGAATCTTAAAAACGAGTCTTGTAGAGTTAAAACAGTTCTCAGACATGTCTCTTTATTGGTTCAGGTGGGTACACGTCTCCCCGATTCAAGTTGATTATTACATGATTCAGCCACAGGGCGTCTCTTTGCGTCGTCGTCTCTGGACCATCGCCCTCAGATGACGTCCCCCCATTCTGACCGTTCACAGGAAGCAGGTGCATTTATACTAGTTGCTGAGTTAGCATTTTCAGCAGAAACATACA